TTGTATGAAGTGTAAGGAAAGGAGGAAGGGTATGGGTGAGAATGTGTCATTTCTGAAATGTGTTTTGGTCAATGAATTGTGTTGTCGATTTGAATGAAAACAGGGAGTGAGTGTAAAAGGAAACATGAATGAAAATGTATATAATGAGAGGTAGGGAAGTAAAAGACAGGGTAGGAGTGAGAACGTGTAATTTCAAGGACAATCATTTTCATTCTCGACTTAAAAAATACATTTGTTACAATGATTTGTTCATCGCTGTGAGAGAGATGCCAGCGTGTCAACAGATTAACAAATCAAGGCATCACACAAATGATTATTTCTTTTTGTAAACCATTCCTCCCAAGTTACAAGTCTGCGATTGTATTGTCTCTTCTCCTCTGTCTCTTTAAGAATGGCGGAGCGCTCTTATGGGTGAACCTTGGCTGCCCTCGGAGCAAGATAGTGATAGGCGTGCCCTTCTACGGGAAGACCTATACCCTCTGCAACGCCTCCATAACCGACCTTCATGCCCCTATTAATGGCACAGGGCAGCGAGGGCCTATTCTAAAGAGGAATGGAGTCCTCATGTACTTCGAGGTAACGTAACGAATTGTAAATGGGGGTATAACATGAGTATAGAATACCGCGTTTACGAAATACGTGATGTTAGCAGTAAAGAGTACTTAAAAACACGGACTCAGAATCAGATCATGGGATACATAACCTGAAAGCGGTTATATAATTTTTGTGCCTTTTATTCTACGATTATTATATCTTTCATATCCAGAATGATACTAAGTTATGGCATCACTGTCATTATCATCATTATCATCATCATCATTATTATCTATTACATATATATATATATTTTTTTTTAGAAAATATATTTCGAAACGATATATCTACTTCCTCTTTCTTACAGATCTGTACTTACTACAGAATGCTGGCTGGGTGCGGCAGTGGGACGCAGAGGGCCTTGTGCCATACGCTTACTCTGGTATTTAGTCCTGAAGCATAATATGGGTTGTGTGGGTTGGAAATGTGGGTGGGAATATTTGTAGCTGGTTCAAATGTGGAAGACAGCAGTGGTAGAAATAGAGGTGTGTGTGTATGTGTGACAGAGGTGTGTGTGTGTGTGTGTGTGCGTGAGACAGATACAGAGGTGTGTGTTTGTGTGTGTGTGTGTGAGACAGATACAGAGGTGTGTGTTTGTGTGTGTGTGTGTGTGTAAGAGAGAGAGAGAGAAACAGAGGTGTTTGTGTGTATGTGAGAGAGAGACACACACAGACAGACAGAGACAGAGCTGAGTGTTTGTATGCGTGTGAGAGAGAGAGAGAGGTGTGTGTCTGTGTGTGTGTGAGAGAGAGAGAGAATGAGGTATGTGTGCGTGTTTGAGACAGGGGAACCAACACCAATGATGATAGGCCTATGACTACCTCTTCTTCCCCGACGCTCCCCAGGCGACCAATGGGTAGGATACGAGGACACAGAAAGCCTCAGGATCAAGATGGACTACATCCGGGACATGGGCTTCCTCGGGGCCATGAACTGGGCCGTTAACGACGACGACTTCCGTGACCTGTGTGGCCATGGGCTCTATCCTCTGATGAGGTCAGGTCATGTTATCTGTGTTCATTTATTAGCTTTTTTCTTTTTATTTCAGTTTATCATATTTATTAGCCATGTTCATTTTGATTCATTCATTAAAAAAAAAAGTTTGGCTGATTTTAATTCTTTGTTTATATATATATCCATACTTTTTACTTTTTTATGTCGCTTTTTTGTTTTCTTGTTTTGCATTTATTATTCATGTTCTTCATCCTGGTTCATTCATTAAGAAACTTTTGCTGATATTCTTTGTTTGAATGTATATATAGTGAGTAGTGTAGACAATGTATAATGATTGCAGTTATGTGTTTTATTTCAGGTTAGAAATGTGCCGAATACGTGTATTTTATTCTTCACAATTTCTTTTTAATGCATTTATTCTTTGTTTCATTTTACTCCTTACTTATTATTTACTTAACATTTTTTTTATTTCTTTTCTTTAATTTACTCTTTCTTTCTTTAATATTTGATGCATTTACTCTTATTCATAAAGAAATGCACCTATTTTTTCATGTATTTAATCCTTCTCTGAAACAATACCCTCACTATTCTTCGTGTTTTTTTTTATACATTTACTCTAATTCTGGAACAATACGCTCTTATAATTTTCGTTTTTTTTGTTCCAGTACTATTCATGAGGGGCTGAAGAACTACACTGTCCCAAGTACTTAAAAGAACAATTCCATCCACATTATGAGTCCAAAAAAAGGATTCAATCCTATATAATGACAGTTCTCTAGTTTACAGTTCACTTCGACTGGATATTGTTCAGTGTATATGTATATTTCAATTTATATATTTAATGTGTATCCGGTTTTTTACTGGTGTCTGGACAATGATACAGAGTCAAGAGTCCCATAAAATACATGGATATTTCAAGAAAACTTCCTTATTGATATGTAATAGACTAAGTAATAGACTCTACCTGTAGAAAAATGTATAGCGCAATTTATTGATATCACTTATATACCCACAATATAACATATTTACAATGAATATATATAGCTTTTATTTATCGCTGACTTCAGCTTGGAAAACGGAAGACACAATTATCAAGTGTAATCTCTATATTGCAATAAAGAAAGCATGGTAACGTATGCTCAACCTTGTGGTTCTTAACCCTGGGGGAGAGGGTAGGCATTTCTCATTTATTCTTCTCTTAATAAGTATATTGGATAATGAAAAAAGCAAAAGTATGCCTTCTTTTAACTTTTGTTTTATTCAGGTATAACTAATCGTTAGGGAAAAGGTGGGAATTTGTCTCATAATATTTGTCGTTTATTAAAAAGGCTATTGGATATTAATTCATACCATTATATGGTATTTTATACGGTCATACAGTCGAATATGCATTAATTGAAACGTGAGAAATATGAATAAGTAAATCTATTAGTACACTAGATATCAAAATTTTAATGGTATCAGAGTTAGGCAAAGACAACTATTGTAAAAAAAAAAAAAAAAAAAAAAAATATATTTATCTGTTCATAACTTTTTTGAATTATCCCGCTAACCAACGAACGAACAAACAGACTAACCAACGCTACCAAAACCATACCTCCTCGTTGCCACGTCTTCTGCGATCAATCAGTCGTTATTTTGGATATTTTGAGACTGCAGAAAAGATGCTAGATTTCTCACATTCTTTCTCTTCTCTCCCATTCTCTGTCTGTCTGTCTGTCTCTGTCTCTCTGTCTCTGTCCTGTCTGTCTTCTGTCTGTCTGTCTGTCGTCTGTCTGTCTGTCTGTCTCTCTCTCTCTCTCTCTCTCTCTCTCTCTCTCTCTCTCCTCCCCTCCTCTCTCTTTCTGTCCATGCTTCGGAGAGAGAGTTGACACCATTGCATAAATTGTATATATTTCTTTACATCATGAAAAAAACGACATCCCGTTTTAACCATAAATAAATGCAGATTATATACAGGTGGATATTTTCCTCCCCGAGAGAGTACTCCTCACCTATTTAGGTTAATTTACACCAATTACATTAAGATTTTATTATTTTTTTTTTTAGCGTTTTTAAACCTTTAATTTGTCTTGGTATTATATATAACACTATTATAGGTCTACCTCATGCCTAAACTTAAATGTATATCATAATGCATTGGGTATTGATATAAACAAAAGCCAGATCTGGAAAATATTGGCATTTTTTTTTTACTTCTCTCTCTGTTACCATAAAGTGAAACATCTGTTATTCTTTCAAATATAGAAAACAAAATCATGTGAATAAGATATGAATTAATATATAGATAATATTCCTACAATCGTTTAGTGAAGTTTTCTTTGTTTGAAGGTGACTTAGGTTAGAAATATCAATGAAATTTGTCGTTTTGTATTCCACCGTGTATGTATGTGTCTATATACATACATGCATATATAAATATATGTACACAAATAATATATATGCATATATATATGTATATATATGGATATAGATATTTATATATACACAAACAAACACACAACACACAACACACCACCACCCCTCAAAAAAAATAAAAAATAAAAAAGATAAATGACCGTGCTTGCTTTTCTTATGCAAGATGTTTTTATATTCTATTTATTAATTTTAGTCCCCCCCCCCAAAAAAAAAAAAAAGAAGAAGAAAAAAACTGAAATAACGACCTTGGTTGCTCTCCTCTCATTTCTCCATGCACGATTTTTTTTCTATATATAATTTTTTCAACAGAGGACCAGACCCTATAGCATAAACCGTATTCATGTTGACAGATGTGGAAAGGTATGAAATGAGAACGAATATCTTCACAATACAAGAGATGTATTTAACCGGTTTCCATTATGTATTTCTGACGAAGATATAATCGAAACGGTTAAATACATCTCTTGTATTGTGAAGATATTCGTTCTCATTCATGCCTTTCCACAACTTATAGCATAGCTTTACTGGGTTGGTTAAGCCATCTCGGTGACCAGTTTTCTTAAGTTATCTGCTCTGGTATTAAAGTCTTTGGAATTTTTGGATTTAATTTTTTTCGACCTTCTCTCCGAAGCTTTTTTAATATCTTAAATTCAGTATTTTTTCCTTTTACCTTACCTTCGCGCAACTGCCTATAGGAAAATATGTAGATGTGTTTTAATTGTGAGAATATTTTCTAATATGATAATGGTATGTTTCTTAGATATAACGTCTGTGTCTTTGAAATATATGGTATGTTGGGCCTGAAGTCGCTTAAGGTCGACTATGTCCAGAATTTAGTCTCTTCACATAATTTCCGTTGTAGGATGTATTCAATGATATGGTTTATAACAGCCAAAATTCTTTTTATTTCACTTGCAGGATAAGTACAGTTTTATCCTTTTATTACTAACAAATTCCTTTATGCTTGAAATCAAATTGAATACAATATGATGTTTATAACATTCTTCTTCAGCTCTTTGCACTACTGTACAAAGGGTCAAGAAAAACAAGGTAAAGAAGCCTTCTTCAGTATATTCAATTTAAGCATGACTAGGCAACCACCCGCCCTGAAACCCTGAAACTTAAAACCTTTACCACAAAACTGAGGAAAAGTAATTAGTGATGAATTCTGCTGAATCAGTAACATGGATTTCCCCCCTTTCTCTCCACCTATCCTCCTTCTCTCCTTCTTCCTCACTCCTTTGCCCTTATCTCCCTTCTTCTCCCTCTGTTCCCTGTCTCTAGGAACCTCACTGTACAGCAGCCTGAAGCCCCGAGTCCTCTGGTACCCGGAGAAGAAAATCCTCATGAGGCTTGAGTCTGAGACGACGGTCGGCGGGAGAGAGAAGCCGTTGAAGTAGAGGACAGAGCCGGAGACGTAGTAAGGGTTTGTCGTCGGGTTCACAGCCACGTAGGTCAAGGAGTTGGTTCCCAGCGCATGTGCGTGAAGGTCAGCTGAACTTTCATACCCATCGCCGCCTGGAAATGGGTGGAGGAAAGAGGTCAACACGGGTGCTCTCTGGGGTATAGAGGAATAAGGTTGTTTGGTGTATGTGGAGGCTTTCTGGGTGACATGAGGGATGAGGAAAGGACAGTATTCTTAGCACACAGGAGTAGGTGGCGATCTACAGAACCTGCGTCTACGTTGCACAGGAACATACATATATACCAAAAAGAAAAAAAATGAAAAAAAAAAACTTAAAAATACAACCAAAAAGGCTCGCGCAGAAACATATTTACAAAAGAAGAAAAAAAAAAAGAAAAAAGAAAAAAAACATACATAACAAAAATTCAACCAAAAAGGGCTTCATCTTTCTAAGTAAATAAGTGCCAACACTTACGATGATGTGCCATTCACAGTACTTCTTCCTCGGGTATCTGCGGGGGAATCTGGGCGACGTGATGGCTCCCCCGGGGCTGGCTGACAGGATCTGGGGAAGGGGAAAGGGGGGGGGGTGAAGAATCTTCTTTTGGGATGATCATTTCATGTGCGTGGATTTTGCTACGCACATAAATGTGTGTGTGTGTGTGTGTGTGTGTATGCATATACACAAATACACATACACACACACATGCTCCTCTAATTGTTGTCCCATATTCCAGACAACATTCCACAGACTTCGATGCGAGCAGATATAGTACCGTCACTCTGTGGTATCCAACACCCTTCCTTGGTAAGTCGAGCATGTGCTTTTATTGCTTAATTGGTAATCGAGGAACCTAATATGATGCGTGTTTTTATTGGACTCACAACGACTTAAATTGAGCTAGACTAGGAAGTCCTAATGGAGAAATATACACTAAACTTAGGTCCCCGATGAGCCTAGTATAATACGTGTAAAAATTGGTCCCTCACTAACTCAAATTGAGCTAGACTAGGAAGTCCCAATGGAGAAATAATCATCTAAAAAACAAATAAAATAAAACATCTAATAAACACATAAACTTACTTGGTGGCAGCCAGAAGTCCTCGGTCTGAACTGAGCATAAAAACCTTTCCACTGTCTGAGAGAGTTGGACGTGAAAGTAGCGAGGAACTGTGCGCTGGGGATGACACGTCTGTAGTTGTTCTTCCTTCCCGTCAAGCTGTAAACGAAATAGACAAAGGTGATTACATAGGAAATCCAAAATCTATCGGGAAATTTGAAAAAAAAATTCTGGTGTGTGGGAACTGTGTGTGTGTGTGGGGGGGACTGTGTGTGTGGGGGGGGGGAACTGTGTGTGTGTGGGGAACTGTGTGTCTGTGTCTGTGTGTAAACTTGTGTGTGTGTGTGCGTATGAGGAAACTGTGTGTATTGTGAGTATGTGCACGCGTGTATGTGTCTCCATACACACTAAACACCCACATAAAACCGCGTGTATTCACCACCAACCAAAAAAAAGCAGACCTTATCCCCCCCCCCCCATCCACACAGACCCCCCCCCCCCACCCCACCCCAAGCACCGCCACCCGTCCTGCCACGCCTCACAGCCATAAGGGGTCGATATCCATTCAAAAACCCACGGCCCTGAGTATGGCGCTGTCTTGACTCACGTTAGCGGTGGTGTGTAAGGGTTCTGGATCTGCAGGACGTCGCCAGGTCGCAGCCGAAGGACCCTGATGTAGAGGTACACCGTCGCGAGTTCGTCCTGAAGAAGGAAAAGGGGGGGGGGGCGATTGGACGGTGGATGGTGAGGGGCTGGCTGTTGATAAGGATGATGGAGATGGTGATGATTGTGATAGTGATGATGATGGTGGTGATGATGATTGTGATGTTGATGGTGGTGACGATGATGTTGATAATGATGATATTGATGATTATGATGATGATTGTGATGTTGATGGTGATGATATTGATGATTGTGATGGTGACGATGGTGGTGATAATATTGATGATTAAGATGGTGATGTTGATGGTGATGGTGACGACGATAATATTGATGATTATGATTATGATTAGATGGTGATGATGGTGACGATGATGTTGATCATTAAATAATTGTCATCATTATCATTATTATCAACATTATCATTAGAATTAGAAGATGTAGGCCTAGTGATATTATTATTATAATCATCATCATTATCGTTATAATTACTACTACCATTACCATTATCATCAATATCACCACCATCATCACAATTACTACATCATCACTACTATCATAATCATCATCACAATTGCTACCATCACCATCATCATCACACATTATCATCATAATCATCATCACAATTGCTACCATCACCATCATCATCACTACTATCATCATCACCATTATCATCACAATTATCATCATTTCCGTCATTATAAAGAGAAAAAAATGGACCTAAAACTTACTGTAATGTTCGAAAGAGCACAGTATGCATTTGGTGGGTAACTTTCAGGGAAATACGGCGAAATGAAATAGGTGGCTCCGTTTTCTGTGTAGATGGTACACTGGTCAAGCACAGCCGTTGTGGTTGTGGTGGTTGAGGTGGTGGTTGTAGTCGTCGTTGTCGTCGTTGTGGCTGTTGTAGTGGTCGACGTGGTTGTTGTCGTTGTGGTTGTCGCTGTTGTTGTGGTTGTGGATGATGTCGTCGTGCTTGTGCTTGTTGACGTGCTTGTGGTTGTACTTGAGGTTGTCGTGGTACTTGTAGTTGAAGAAGTACTTGTAGTTGTAGTTGTAGACTTGCCTGTAGTCGTACTGGTACTAGTACTTGCAGCCGTAGTAGTACTGGTACTTGTAGTCGTACTGGTACTAGTACTTGTAGCCGTAGTCGTACTGGTACTAGTAGCCGTAGTAGTACTGGTACTTGTAGTCGTACTGGTACTAGTAGTCGTGGTTGTGGTTGTCGTAGTCGTATCCGAAGGGCCGCACGAAGGAATTGGAACGAAGGTGACGTCAGCCGCCCACCCCTTCTTGAAATTAGACCCGACCTTGAAGTAGAGGATCATTTCGCCGCCGACGGACTGGAACACTTGGCCAGCGGATATGTCTGTCCCGCAGAACCTGGAGGAGAGGGAGAGGGAGAGGGAGAGAAGGAGGGAGAGGGAAAAGGAGGGAGGGGGAGGGAAGGAGGGAGGGGGAAGGAGGAGGGAGAAGGGTGAGGGATGGAGGAGAGGAGGAGGGGGAGAGAAGGAGGGTGGTGGTGTGGGAGAGGGTGAGGGAGAAGAGAGAAGGAGGGAGGGAGAGAGAGAGGGAGAGGGAGAGGAGGAGGGGGAGAGGAGGAGGGAGAGGGAGAGAAGGAGGGAGGAGAGAGAGAGGGAGAGGGAGGGATGGAGGGGTGGGTGGGTGGGAGAGGAGGGAGGGGAGAGAAAGAGGGGTGGGGTGGGTGGGAGGGTGTGAAGGGAGGATAGGGAGAAAGAGGAGGAAGAGAGAGAAAAGA